GTCTTGGTTCTCATTTTTTCCCCTTGTCCCTGCCCTCCCTTCGCCCACTCCTCCCCTCCCCATTTACAAACATTTCATTTCCATTTTTTCATTTTCTCATATTTTTTTTCCCTTATTACCTTTCCGCTACCCTTTCCACTTTCCCTGCACCTTTAGCCCTTTTCAAGGCTTTGTTTTATAGAAGATATCTTTCATGTCTGTTACCTTCATTTTTGTATAGATAGTACATTTTGCTATTTGAGGCTTAATTGCTTACATCTTTTGAGTTTATTTTAAAATGCTGTGATAAAAACATTCTGTTTATTTTTTATTTTTTTATTTTTTTGGTCCTGTGGATTAAACTCAGGACCTTGTGCTTTCGAGGCAGGTGCGGTGTCACTGAGCTAAATCAATGGCCCTCCTCTGTTTCTTGTTTGAGTAATTATCCTTCTAGAAACTTCAAAGAGAATACTGTATTTGTTGCTTTTTGCTGATTTTTCAAATTTTCCTTCATTCTTGAGTCTAGCTTTATCAGTGACTACTGGATAAATTGTTTTCTTAAACCTTGGTTATAATTTTTATAGTAATTTTCTTTCTTTCTTTTGTTCCCTCCATGTTATTGGGGATTAAATGCCAGGCCTTGCTTTGAGCTATGTCTGTAGCCATTCTTAGTTTTTGTTTTGAGCCAGGGTCTCACTAAGTTGCCCACACTGGGCTTGAACTTGTGGGTCCTCCTGACTCAGCCTCCCAGGGTGCTGGGGTTACTGGCATAAATCACCACCCCCTACCAATTAATCATTTTGTTAATGTTTTAAAGTGTTAAGTCATACTTTCTCCACTTTTATGATCTATTAGGAATAAACTTGATTATTTTGCATTTTTTTCTTTTTATTGAGTTTATTGGTACAATCTAGGTATACAATACAGTTACATTCATTATTGGAATCCTGTACCTTTACATGATAGGTCTTGATTCTCATTTATTCCCCTTGTCCCTGCCATCCCTTCACCCCCTCCTCACCTCCCCATTTACAAACACTTTATTTCCATTTTTTCAGTTTTTCATATTTTTTTCCTCTCCCTTATTACCTTTCCCCCACCCTTCCCACTTTCCCCACACCTTTAGCCCTTTACTTCCTATTTCACATTGTCAATTATCTCATTAGGATCGTGTGTACTATTATAGTTTTTCACACCAGAGAAACTATTCGGTATTTCAGTTAAAGAAATCTCTGTATGAACATTAAAAATAGGGAATCCTAAAATAAAACTAAAAAGGAAAGTAAAAGAGAAAAGGCAATGATGTAAGATTAAAATAATCATTAATTCTGAAGATGAAAATGGTCCCTGAACATATTTAAATTGCTTCTTGCTCTTATAGTCTTATCTTCTTTTTTATTCATTTAGAGAATACTTTATTAGTTTCTGTAATCAAACCCACGTAGATATGACCTTACATATTTAATACAGTGTGTTACCCCTGTACAAATGAAAAAAAAAATTAAAATTAAAAAAATTAACATTTCTAGACCAATATGGCTGTCAATTTCTGTACAATGCCAACTCAACACAGTAAATTGGGATAACTTTTTCCAAAGTTGACAGCACCGTTAAAGTTTCCCAAAATTCAATTTATATATATATGTGTATGCATATATATATATATATATATATTTATATTTATATAAAAAGACCAATAATAGCAGTATGTTATGCATCAATAGCAGCAACAGCTTTTCCAAGTTCTGCAGTCATCTGAACAAAATTATAGACATTCAGCACATTCCATTAAAAAAACAAAGAAAAATCAAAGAAAAGAATAATATCCAGAAAACAGCAAAGTTTGTTGCTGTTGTGGTACCTGGCACCATTTTTTTTTTTTTTTTTTAGCATCTTAGTCATCATCTGGAAAGAGAACATTCTAGAGTAATATCATTAAAAATAGCTCTGATAAAGCATGGTCACTACTACATATCATAAAGCAGATACAAGATATTTTACATTCACAGAGGTATGATACAGTACCATCCTACATCAATAATACTAGAATCAGTTTTGGTTTGAAATTTACTTTGTCTGCAAGTAAGATTGCTACCCCTGCTTTTTTCTGAGCTCCTGTCACGTGGAGAATTGTTTTCCATCCTTTCACTTTCAGTCTATGGCCTTCTTTTTGCACTAGGTGTGTTTCTTGTATACAACATATTGTTGGATTTTGCTTCTTATTCCATTTTGCCAGTCTGTTTATCTTGATTGGTGAATTGAGGCCATTGATATTGCTGGTTAAAACTGATATGTACTGACTTATTATTGTCATATTATTGGCCTTTTGTTGACTCTTTTTACTTTTTCACCTTCTCCTTTTAATTTCTTGCCTTGCTTGTTTGATTTGGTCTGTTGGGCCTCATGGTGTTGTTGCCTTCATTGTCTTTTTCTAGGACCTTGTTTAGAATTGCTTGTAGTGCTGGTTTGGTATTCATGTAGTTTCTCAGGTGTTCTTTGTCGTGGAAGTGTCTTATTTCCCCATCCATTTTGAAAGAGAGTTTTGCTGGATACATCAGTCTAGGTTGGAGGTTGTTCTCTTTTAGTACTTGAAATATCTCACTCCAGGCTCTCCTTGCCCCAAGGGTTTGTGTTGAAAAGTCTGCTGTGATTCTGATGGGCTTTCCTTTGCATGTGATTTGTTTCTTTTCTCTTACTGCTTGTAGTATTTTGTTCTTCTGTTGGGTTTCTGGGATCTTGATTATTATGTCTAGGTGTAGATTTTTTTTTTTTGATTGTAGCTAGTTGGGGTCCTATATGCCTCACTTATCTGAATGTCAAATTCTTCCCCTCTGTTTGGGAAGTTTTCTGTCATTAATTCTGTGAACAGCTTTTTTAAGTCATTTGTATTTTCTCCTGCTACTTCATGGATTCCTATCAGTCTTATGTTATTCTTCTTTGCATCATTTAGTAGTTGTTGGATCGATTTCTCATGATCCCCTACTGTTTTTAAGAGACCTCTCTTTTCATGGTCTCACTGACTGCAATCTTACCTTCTATATCTGAGAGTCTATCTTCACATTGTTTTATCCTGTAGTGTACACTTTCAATGGAGTGTTTAATCTCCTGGATATCTGTTTGAATCTGTTTTATGGATTCCATTTCTCTCCTATGTTGGGCGTTTATTGTTTCCATTTCTTTCTTATGCTGGGCCTTCATGGCTTTTATCGTGGTCCTGAACTCATCTATTTATTTGTCAGTTTCTGTTCTAGAGTCTTGAATCACGACTTCCATTTTGCTCACTATCTCTGTGGTTATCTGGGAAATTATTTCTGTTTTGAATTTTTCTAGAGCCTGATTGATCTCTTTTGTTACTTCCTGTGCTTTGAGTTTCAAGTGTCCTGGTGGTTCACTATCAACCTTTTCATCCTCATTTGCCCTATTTTTTGCCATTGGTAAACTGGAAGTCTGTCTTTGTGTATTGCTTAAGTGTTTTCTCATTTTTATTTTTGTTGTCAGGCTGTCCTTGGTTTAATCTCTGGGTTATCACCCAAATCTTCCTGATATAGTTGCGCCCTAGCTTCTGTGTCTGTAACAACCCACAGACATGCTCATCTTCATAACATCAGAGAAAACAGCTGATCGAATCAACCACAATCCTTTATTTCAACTGATACAATCAGCAACACATGATCAAGCACAACTTGAAAACTGACCACCTGTGGTAGTCACTAGTCTATCACCATTAAATCATTTGAATTAAATTGAAATCAAGAAGCAGTCCAGAGCATGTCTGCAGTGAACAAACTTTTCATTATATTATATTTACCATTTAGTGGCTCAGACAGAGCTAGAATAGAAGACCCCTGCTCTCAGTTAGCTGATGGCTGAACCCCATGATGCAGACTGACCTCGGGCTGCAAGGCCCAGATTGAGCTCCCCAACTTTCTGAACGGTTGAGCACCACACCATTCTACTACAGGTTTCCCATGCCCTTTCTTTAAAGATGTTCAAAGTTGGGAACTCAGAAAAATACCCTTGATGACCACCTCTGCCTCTGCAGAGTGGGTCCAAAGACTGGCACAAGCAGGAAGTCTGAGAGTGTGCGGGTGTGTGTGTGTGTGTGTGTGTGTGTGTGTGTGTGTGTGTGTGTGTGCGTAAGGGGAGTTATGGGGATTCAGGAGCACCCACATGGCTACCTTCCTGGTGCTGGAGCGATGGCGGCTGGGTTGGGAGAAGGCATGGCTCCTATTTTGCATTTTTATCAGGCAAATTACTTTTGTGCCAAAAAAATTATGCTGAAGACATCTGCAAATAAAATGCATTTTTATTATTTTGTGAATTGAAGCTCCTTCAAGGCAAGACTCTTCTTGTTTTGTATTTGGTCAAGTTCTTTCTGGTAGGTGACTTTTTTTTTTTTTTTTTTTTTTTTTTTTTTTTTATTTTTTTTTTTTTTTTGGTACTGGGGATTGATCTTGGGTCCTTTTGCTTGCGAGGCAGGCGGTGGAACCACTGAGCTAAATCCCTGGCCCCATAGGTGACATTTCTGACTATGCTCTATCATTTTCATGGTCATAAAGGACTTTCTTTAGATATCCTTGGCCCATTGGCTATTGGAATTTTTCTGGAGATTCTTCTGATGCCATTGGTATTACTTACGTGCCAAGAGGATAAGTCTGCTATTATGATTTCCTTTCCATAGTTATGGTACATTGCTTAGAATCACATATAGTTGGGTTTTTTTTGTACTGAGTATTGAACTCAGGTCCTTGCACTTATGATGCAGGCGGCAGAACCACTGAGCTAAATCCCTGGCCCTAGAACCACATATAGTGACTGTTAAAACATTTTAGCTAGAAGCAAACTGGAAAAAGTACCCTGAAGAAAATGTTTTTTCTTTCTTTCTAGTACTAGTGATCAAACTGAGGACCTTGGGCTTGTGAGGCAGGCATAGCACCCCTGAGCTAAATCCCTTGTTTTGAGAAAATACTTTAAACCCACGTAAGCATTTATTTCATTTTCTTTATCTTTTTTTTTTATAGCATGCTCCACGCTATTCAAGACAGTGCTCAGTTGTGTCCCGTACTCTCAATTCAGTGGGATATAATCCAAATGAAAAAGTAAGTATTTTAAAAAATACTCTCAATGGCTAGGTTATAATGATAAAACTTTCTTGTTTCTCCACTGTGTTCAGTAGTGGTCAGGTTAAATTTTATTAATACTGTAATTATTGCTCTAGCATCATAATTTTTCATATTCAATCTTTGCTCTGTTTTGCATTGTCGGCCACAACCTAGCTTTTTAATTTTGTATTTATATCTACCAAAAATTGAATACATTTAATGTTTCCCTTTTAGCAGAATAACTAGAATAACATTCTTTCTTAAACACTAGGCAGGTGGAAGGTTTTGATTAAACTATTTGTTTTTTGTTTCATTTACTTAATATGAATCATTTGGGTTTAAGGCAATAATGCATGTTGAAAATTTCTGGGCAAAGGAATTCCACCTAAAATCTTGATACATGAGAGTGCTTGTGCACAGTTATATCACATTTCTTCAACCCAAAAAAGGAGTAGAAGTGGTGATCAGAAATAAAACATGTTTTATTTGTAGTGTAAGCATCAGAGAGGTCAAGAAAGAGTTTTTTGTTAAGAGCCTGTTCAGCGTGATTGTTATGAAAGTATAACCGTTAAGAATTATTTGGAAGGACTCATCTGAGATACCTTCTAAACCATCAGTGGAAGTGCATGAAACATGTTCCAGATTCTTTGAAATATGGAGGTTTGGAGAAAAAAAATCTACAATTATGCAGCCCTGTAGAAATAATGTAAGATACAATGGCAGAGCACATGTAAATTCAAAAATTTCTAATAGCCATATTGAAAAAGTAAAAAGAAACAGATCACATTAATTTTAACTATATTTATTTAACTTAACATTTAAAATGTTATTTTGATACACAACTAGTATAAGTGTTGAAACACTTAGGTATGTTTTTTTGAGACAGGTTCTTGCTATGTAGCTCAGGCTGGCCTGGAACTTACTATGTAGCCCAGGCTGGCCTTGAACTTGTAGCAATTCTCCTCTCAGCTTCCTAAGTGCTAAGAATCCACCATGCCTAGGTTAGATTTTGTATTTTTGAATGAAGTCTTCTGAATTCAGTGTATCTTTTATACTTTCTGGATCAGCTTACTTTGACTAGCCACATTTGAAGTGCTCAGTATCTTCATGTTATTAGTAGATACTGTCTTCGATAGTGCAGGTTTAATAGATTAGGTATGAATGAAATTTGCTGTTATGATATCTGTAATTTGAAAACTTCACCAGAGGTAGTATCCTTTGAAGTTCTTGTGTATATATGTTGGTGCACACTTGTATCATGCTGTAATCTAGAGGTAAACAATTGTCCTAATTAGGAACACTCTCGGAGTACTTAGTTAACATTTGATAGAGGACATATTCTGTTTTTGATTTTTTTTTTTTGAGACAGGGTCTCACTATGTAGTTGAGACTGACCTGGAACTCACTATGTAGCCCAGGCTGGTCTCAAACTCACAGTGATCCTCCTCTCTCAGCCTCCCAAGTGCTGGGATTACAGGTGTGTGCCACCACACCTGGCTGTAGAGGACATATTCTGTAGGAGGGAATAGTACAAGTGGTTCAGTCATCTTTCTCCCTGTAATCACTGGTAGGCTTCCTCATTATAATTTGTGTTACAAAGGGGCTCTCACTGATAAAATCAATAATATTCAAGATAAGTGTATTGTCTGTTTTAGAGAACTTTTCAGATTTTGTAGAATAGTACAATAATCTAGTTGAGCTATCATTCTTTACCTCTAAGGATAGCACCCAGGGCTGATCTCTCAGTGACACTCTTGTGTTCGGTCAGTGGCATGGCAGATTCTTGATAACTCTGACAAGTGTGGATATGGTTAGCCAAGTCAGTATTTATGCTGTTTGCCTCAGGTGAATCTTTCTTGGTGGTTGTTGGATCATGAAATACACCAAGTTGAAACGTCACTGAGTTTATGGAGCTGGTTTTAATATTCATATGCTTGCTGATAGAGTTTGGTCTGGGACTTAATTTTTGCTGTAATCTCATAGTGAGGTCATAGGAACAGCTGGCTCACCTCCTATGTTGATGATTGTTGCTGATCATTAAAAACTGAATGAGTAAATGTTCATAACTGCCTTGGTTTAGGATATTTAGAGATAGGAGAGCCTTGGAATCCAGTAAGAGGGAATTATTTTGTTGAAAATATCTGAAACCAAATCTGTTCCCTGCTATCTTTGCCATCTGCTTTGTGGTGGATTTGCCTAAGGTAATTGTGGAGAAGTTGTATGGCTTTCCTGATCAGTGATGGATGCATTTTCTTACTTATTAATTAGTATGATCAGACCAAGTTGGTGGGCTCACCCTTCCCTTGGTGGTGTTTAATTGAACTTTCTCCTTGCAGGGACTCATTCTGTCCTTGAAGCAAGTTATTCATTAAATACTGATCTTGGCCCCGGGGATGTAGCTCAGCGGTTCTGCTGCCTGCCTCGTAAGCGCAAGGTCCCGAGTTCAGTCCCTGGTACAAAAAGAAAAAAAAAATGCTGATCTGTTTTGTTTATTGTTAGTCTGAAGTGCAGCTTGACCTGGTCTTTGGTGATACTCATTTGTTATGTAAATTGCTTCTCATCTGAACCTGTCATTGACCTTTCACATTTTATTGATTCATATCATGTCACTGAAACAGGTGAAACTTAATCATTACCAAATTGAATTTAGTGGTAATTTAGTTGGAACAATACCAGTTTCATTGGGCCTGAAGGTAGTGTGAGCCAGTATTACATATACTGCAGTGTGGTATTCATAATAATAATTTTAGGTGGCGTTAATCATACAGTGTTTGAAATTTACATTATTACTGCTTATTAAGTCATGGTGTGCTCTGATATGACTATCTAGGTGTAAACTCAGGCTTTACCACTACTTCACTTTGTAAGTGACATAGACAAGTGATTGGGCCTCACCATCCCATTGCAAAATGGGAATATTATTAGAATTGACTCTGTAGGCTATTATGAAGATAAATAACTGTTACCTGATAGATAGCTTAGTGTACAGAAAGGATTTGTCACAGTGGCTAGTATAGAGAAAGTATGTGCCCTAAATACCAGCTGCTTAACATGCTTCACCCATTTTGCACATTTGTACACTTAGGCTCAAAATCCCTTGATTGTAAGTATAAGCTGGATGCAATCTCAAGCCAGCCCTTCTTTAGGACTGATGGACTTGACCACTGTGATATGAGTGACTCAGAACCCTGAGTTCTGCTTTCACACCTCTACCAGTACACAGTGGACTGAGGCAACTCAGTTCTTCTGTTGGTTTCTGGGTGGAGTGAAGTGCCTGCTATGATTTTAGATCCAGCAGTGAGAATCTAATCCTAGGGAAGGAAAATAAGGAGAGAACAGAGAATGGAACAGAGATGGATTTTTTTAAAAATAACTTTAAAAAAATCCTGAGGAAACTTGTACCCCTGAGGCCATCATTAGCATAGTACAGAGCTGCTGCTTTTGACCCCTGCCCCCCATCTCTTCTCATACCTGAGAGCCCTTCTGTCTTCAAGGATTCTGGCTTTGGATTTATAATTGTGGTTTCATTTTTTTCCCCTTTAGTGTGCCTTACTTACAGTTGTCTACTTACAGCATCAATTTAAGTGTCATTTAAGTCTTTTCATCATCTGAGCTTTTCGTCCCATAGCTTTATTATAACTGCCATACATATTGGCTGATTGAGCCACATTAAAAATTCCTTGTATTTTTTGGTGCTACCCTCTTCTTTTAATGTTGCTGCCTTTGCACATCTAGTTCATACTTTCCTTTCTCGATATCCAGCATTCCAGACAAAGCTTTAGTATAGCCCTTAACACAATTTGTTATGATTGTGCTACATTGTCCACTTGATATTTACCTGTAATTGTTGATGCAGACATGGGAAGTTTTAAAGTTGGCATAACTGATCTGTGTTTATATTCTTTGTTATGCTTAGCTTACATGGAAGAATATGCAAGAGATTGTTAACTGTGGTTGCCTTTTGGGCAGGCACTGAGTGTCATTTTAATAACTTTTAAAATTCTTAACTCTTATGTGTCTGTGCTTTATTTAGAAGAAAATTTTATGTCTAGAAGATTACTTGAGAGTTGAGAGTGTAGCTCAGTAGTTGGGTGCCTGGCATGTGTGGCCCTGGGTTCAATTCCAGCACTGCCCACCCCAAAGATTAATTGACAGGAGATTTATTGATTAATTGGCAAGGGCTTTATGTACTAATTAGCACTATATAAATAGCTCTGAACAGAGATCTATTGGGTGTAAATATTTGTTTTGAATCAGATTTTTTTTCTAGTTAGATAGGGGCATATTCCTACATTCTTGACAGTAGTCTGACGTGGCCCAACAGGGTGACAATAGCTATAGCTAATATATAACTGTGTCATATGCCAGACACTATTAGAACAGTGTAAAGGTGTTAACTCATACCAGTCTCACAACCTTTTGTGGCAGATGCTCTTATTACCCTTTTATTACCAGGAAATGAGGGCTGGAAAAATATGTGGGAGTTTTAGGGTTTCATCATGGGCAGTTTGGTATCTGGAACATAAACTAGAGTGGGATTTATATTTAATCCTTATAATTTCATCATAATTTGTTATTTTTTTTTTGGCACCAGAGATCGAACTCAGGTCCTTGTGCTTGCAAGGCAGGCGGCAGAACCACTGAGCTAAATCCCTGGCCCTCAGCAATGGTATTTTTGGGGCTTCCATCAGATGTAGTTTGTCAGACACTTCATAAAAGTTCAACATTTTACTGGGTGTGGTGGTGTACACCCGTAATGAAGTATTTGGGAGGCTGAGGCAGGAGGATTGCTTTTAGTTTGTGGCTAGCCTGGGCTACATAGTGAGCTGAAGGCTAGTCTTGTGGGTCCCTGTCTCAAAAAAAGCAGAAAACAAAAACAGAACAACAAAAAAACTTCACAGTCTTAAATGCATTTCAAGAAAGTGTAAGGACTGTTTTGTTAGCCTGTTGAGCATGACAGTGGGTCCACTGGACCCATTCCTTACTTTTCTACAGTAAATTAGTACTTTAGCATAATAGTGCCCAGCTGTGGGATACAGCAAGCAATATTTGTGTTTACTCATTTGATATGATGAACGTGCATGTGTGCAAAAGTGGAAAAATGAGATTTTTACCCATGTTATGACCCAACTAACTGGTTTTTGTGTAAGTGGACCTGAGCATCACGGAGAGTCTAGTAGACCAAACTACCCCAGGATTTGTTAAAAAAGTTTTCTTTTGATTTTTCTGGTAGAAGTAGTCTAATTTAGCATTATGGCACATGAAAAACCAGATTTGCAAGTTTTGGAGGAGGTTAAGGTGAATCATCAGATTACTCATGCATGGATGATAACGATGATACATAGTGGTGAAATACATGTTTTCCTAACAGAAGAGAGGTGTGGGTTGGATGATGATGATGATGACAATGACTTTGACATTGGCCACATTGGCCACGTGAGCCAAAGTTTCTGCGACAGTGAGACGGAGCAAGAATTGAATGATACAGACACAGGGAATGCAAACCTTGATTCAGAAAACAGCAATGTGAATATATACTTGACTAGTTAACATGTTGAAAATGGCCACTAACCAAATGATCCAGTGTTAGAATCACATCTGAGAAGACTGTGAGGGTCTTGGCAGGGGTAAAATGTATTGGACAGAATGCAGGCACTGCCATTCAATGTTGGAAATTGTAACAGATGAAATGCTACAAGATGCTATGGAATACACAAAAGGCTGAAATGCAGAGAAACATTCTGTATGCAACAGTAGCTGTATTAACAAATGTGTTTATTATGACACCTCACTAGCTGAACTGAAAGCATTCGTAGGTCTGCTATGCTTAGCCAGGATTTCTCATGGAAATTGCAGGAATGTAAAAGACTTAAGGAAAAGCAGTGGATCAAAATATGGCATAAAAATTTATGTCTTTGTAGATGCGAAGATTTATGCTTTCAATTTAGACATTTATCCTGGAAGTTGGCCGTCAGGGCTTTATATGTACAGTAATAAACCCAATAATGTTGTAAACAGACTTGTTGCTCCAATCTCCCAAACTAATCAGAATGTGACATTTGACAATTGGTTTACCAGTTTCCAATTGATGTTATTTTGCTAACATAGCACAAGTTGGAGGAACTGTATGAGAGAACATTTGGCAGAAATTCCAAATGAAATGTTGCAATTTCAAAACAGAATTGGAGCCCGGGATTTAGCTCAGTGGTTCCACTGCCTGCCTTGCAAGTGCAAGGACCCAAGTTCAATCCCTGGTACCAAAATAAATAAATAAATGAATAAATAAAAATAAAAAACAAACAAACAAAAACCCAGAATTGTGTAATACAATCTTTGAATTTCAGAAAGATTTACTTTGGCTTCATGTATGGCAAAGAAAAACAAACTGGTACTGCTGATGTCAACATTGCACCATAGGGCCGGGGATTTAGCTCAGTGGTTCTGCCACCTGCTTCACAAGCGTAAGGACACAAGTTCGATCCCTGGCACCAAACAAACAACAACAACAAAAACAGAAACATTGCACTATAATGGAAATACTGATAGGCAAACCTTGACAAAAGGAAGCCTGAGATGGAAACTTTCTGCAACAAAACTAAAGGTGGAATAATTGTTGTTGAGGAGTTATACAGCAACTATGATATCACTCAAAACATAAAGCATCCGCCAATAGTTATGTTTTACTTGATCCTACACCTGTGTGGCATAAGTAGTTTACAAAGTAAATAACAAGTGCAAAATATGGGGAAATTTTCTTAGATGATTGGTACTGGAACTCTAGGAAAAACAAGAGGAAAAACGAAATGTTTCTGCCCGGGGAACTATGTAAAAAAGTCGTGCAGCACACTGGGGATACGGGAACAGGCAGGTGCAGCATCACAAAAACTTACTACAACAACAACAAAACCAAAAGGATGGCACCTGTGCCCTACAAGGAAAACAAAACATGTGTGCTATTAGTGTAAATGATACTTATGCATGAAGATGCAGTTGTCATGTGTGAAGACTGCCTTGGGTGTGATAGTTGAAGAAAACATTATTTCTGTGGTAGGCTTTTGTTTGTGTTTAATTGTAGTTTACATAGGTTTTTATTTCTGATGCTATCTTTTAGGTTTTGTAAGCAAGTAAACAGCTGATGTGAAAATGTTTATTCTGAGCACTCATTACATACATATATATGGCTCCATGGAGCTGTAGCCTGCTTTGCAAGTGCAAGGACCTGAGTTTGATCCCTGGTACCAAAAACAAAAACAAAAACAAAAAACCAATGGAACTCTACAACAAAAATAAAAATTTTCACACTCAAAGCAGTCTTCACACGTGACAACTGCATATTCCTTGCACATGTCTCACTTACACTGACAGCACATGTACTTAGCTTTTCTTTCATATGTGGTAGTCTTTTTTTTTTTTTTGGTGTTGGGGATCAAGCTTGGGCTCTTGTGCTTGTGAGGCAGACAGTGAAACCACTGAGCCAAATCCCTGGCCCCCATTGGTATTTTTAGTTGTACTTCACATAGGAATTTATTTCTGATGTTTTCTTTTAGTTTTTGTAAGTGAGTACACAGATGATGTGAAAATGTCAATGTCTACTCTAAATACACAATACATATTAAGAATTTAATACTTTATTGATATTTATTTTCCTGTTAATTACACACTTTATAATATAAGAAGAAACTCTTGATAAAACAGCAAGACCACTGAGATGTCAAGTATGTCCTACAAAAAGACCAGGAAAGCAAAACACATATGCTATCAGTGTAAGTGATATATGTGTATGGAATATGCTGTTGTGATGTGTGTAGCCTGCTTTAGATGTGAAAATTGAAGTAAAGATTTTTTTATAAAGTGGTATTGCTATTTTTATTGTAGTTCATACAAGAATTTATTTGTGTTGTTCTTTTTTAGACTTTGCATACCAAAAAATAGTCGATGTTGAAAGTTTTGATGCTTTTTATAAACACTCAATATGGTATAATTGACAATGTGAAATAGGAAGAAAAGGGCTAAATGTGTAGGAGAAGTGGGAAGGGTAGGGGAAAGGAAATAAGGGAAAAGAAAAAACATGAGAAAATGAAAAAATGGAAATAAAGTATTTGTAAATAGGGAAGGGAGGGAGGGGGTAAAGGGAGGGCAAGGGTAGGGGAGGAAATAAGGGAAAAGAAAAAACATGAGAAAATGAAAAAATGGAAATAAAGTATTTGTAAATAGGGAAGGGAGGGAGGGGGTAAAGGGAGGGCATGGGTAAAGGGAAAATGAGAACCAAGACCTGTCATGTAAAGATACAAGATCCCAATGATTAATGTAACTGTACTGTATACCTAAAATGTACCAATAAACTTAAACGTAGACAGTCAATAAATATTAAAAGTTCAATACTTTATTTTGTGATTTTTTTCTGTTAAATACTCATTGTTTAGTGTAGTAAACCTCATAAAATTTAAATTAATAATTCACCAATAGAAATATTCTAAAGACCTGTGTTTATGCACCTATATGACAAAGTTAATGTTATGCTCTGTTGGTTAGGATATGCTTCCTGTATAACAAGTATTTTCCAAGACCATTTGGATAAAGAAAGGTAGATGATTTCAGTCTCAGGGCTGAGGTGAGTGTATATTATTTTAAGGGTACATATGAGCCTCTGAATGGATTCGAATTTCACCAGTTTTTAAGGCAGAGGTTGGTCTCAGGTTGGTGGAATAAGCCACATGTGATGTAAATGTTAAACCAAGACTTGGAAAACCTTTTCCAATTCTGAGATTCTTGAATCTCAGGTGAAACTCTGCCTTATGTGAGTATTTTTATAAAGATCATACATAGTTTTAACTTTTTCTTTTAGAAATATACCTAAACTTAAAATACAATTTTTTATAGTTACCTATAACTTATAATGCTTCACCAATCCAGAAAAATTATGTACTTATATGCATTTTGTCCAAATTACTTATAATTGTATAGGTAATGTGTTTGTGTATATAAATGTGTGTTTGTGTATATGAATGTGTTTTATAAAAGGGCTCAGCCTACAAAATTTTAGAATTGGAATAAAACCCACTAAATCTCTTCTATTAGTGTGCTGTCTCTCTATATATGTGGAAATCAAGACTTACAGAGATTGATATATTTAAAATGAAATAAATGGGTCATTAGTGGAAGAGTTGGGCTTGGGATTTAGGTTTCTAGGTACACACTGGATACAACTACTGTTACTTCACCTTAACTGCTTCAAAATTTGATGGTTATTCAAATTTGACACTGTGTTGAAATGGGATGACCTGCTTGATCTGGATGTCTGTGAATATAAAGGCACAGTTGTTGTCTGCTCAGAGGTACGGAAGATCTGTGTAACCCAACAAAGGCATACAAATTATACTTATTAGACTAGTTTTGGAAACAATTCAGGAAACTTAGGGTTTCCCAGAATTTAGAAAGTAAGTTGTCAAACAGGTTTTCTTTTCTTTTCTTTATTTAATGACACAGGGTTTCTCTGTATAACCCAGGCTGGGTCTGAACTCATGAACCTCCTAACCCTGGCTCATTCTCCTGAGAGCTGGAATACATGTGCCACCCTTCTGGACTGTTAAGCATTCTCTAGAGCTTTTTAGTGTTCTGAAATATTATTAGAAAATTTGCTTTTGTCAACAGAATTTATAGATACTCCTTAAATGCACTTATGATTACATTAACGTAGTCAACTGAGGCTTTAATAAAAAAATTGCAGGGCCAGATCGTACCAAGTGGGTTTAGTTGCTTCCTGGTTATAAATGGAAATATTAATTATAACATTTAATATTACTGTAGAAAAAAATGTTTATTAGAATCATTTTTTAATTGTGGTAAAACTTGCTGTTTTCTGGTTGCCAAGTAAGAGTAATTATTTCTAATTCTTTTTCTCCATTCAGACTTTTGATAAAATTCTTATTGCTAATAGAGGAGAAATTGCATGTAGGGTAAGTAGAATTTGAATTTTACTCATGAAACATTATTATTAAATCCCTTTAGATATGAAATATTGTTAACAGATAATGTTAATATATTTTAAATAGGTAATTAAAACTTGCAAGAAGATGGGAATTAAGACAGTTGCCATCCACAGTGATGTTGATGCTAGTTCTGTAAGTATATTTTTACTTAGTCTAAATCAAGACTCAATTTTGGGTCAGACAGAATAAAATTGAAAGATCTTTGTTTTTTTCTTGCCCTGCAAAAGGCATATTCAATTTTAAAAACGATTTAACTGTTCACTTTTTATTAAGCTAAACAAAAGTATCAGCATGTCTCTGTAAGTGTCTTAGCTATTTTTTTTCAAAGCTTTAAAAACTTTAGACTAAACTAAAAAATTAACAGGTTGGTTGTTGGTGAGCAAGTAGATTTAAGCAAAGCATGAGAAAATTGAATTCGAAGATTAATGAAATGTTTACACAATGCTCCCTTATGAGAGTGCTTTTCCCCAGCATAACCCCACTATTACTAAAGGAATGCTATAATTGTTTAACCTTTCCTAAATACATTAATGTGTTCAGCTGAAAGTTTGATAAATGAGAGATAGGCTGATGGTAATTGGATGTGAACAAAAGAAGGTATAGCATAAAGCAGTGAATGATAAATAATTTTATTTTGCATTTTTAACACAGCAGGCTTTTTTAAAAAATAATGAACTATGATTGAGTAGAAAAAAATCCCATGGGAAAAGAATGTAAATTATTGGAGCTTTATGGAATAAAATATAAATAGTTGTACTCTAAGTTACTGTATTTTCATTCTTTTACACTACTTTTAATAACAACATACTGGTAATATTGGCTTTTATGGAAAAGTAATATAATGAGTTTTCAAATTTTTTGATATTTCAATTTTGTTTTATTTAGAATTATGTTATTTTGTCTTACTGCAACTTTCTTTTAAAAATAACAAAATATAAACAATTGCAAACTAATTTTCTGTAAATGTGAAGTATACAATTCATTTGGCAAGTGCATTTAAAATATTTGTTTTGTACCAAAAAGCAGTTAAATCTGTTTTGATATGTACTATTTAAATTTTTTAAACATTTGATTCTGGCTTCTTTGATAAAATTTAAGCATGATGGTTTTAGTAATAATTTATATTCTTCACAGAACAGTTTTGATTGGTAAACCAAGGCATTTATCAACTTTAAATTCCTCTAATGAAAAGTTTGTTAAAGTCATCATGGGTCTAATAACAGACTTAAAATCCATGCTTCTCATTATATATTCTCATTGTATTAGCTCATGAAAAATTTTTACCCATGAATATATTGAGAGGAAAAACATCTGAATTGTGGACATTGTTTTTATTTGAAGTCTAATAGTAATCTTTCACTTATTTCTTTTTCCATATTAAAGTATAGTTCTCTATGCTGTGTTCTCTTGGAGGTGACTCTTGGTGTGGATAGTCAAAAGTCATTTCTATTTCTTTTTTTCCCCCTGTATAATTATATATCAGTATTGGTATTATAGAGTAATCCATTTATGTAAGTTGTTGCCCTAAATAGTATGGGTAACTTACCTATTCTTGTTTTGTTTGTTTGTTTGTTTTTGGTCTGGGGCAGTGAACTCAGGACCTTGCACTTACAAGGCAGGGGGCCGTACCACTGAGCTAAATCCCTGGCCCAATTACCTATTCTTATATGTCTAGCTTTGCATTTTGTGTTTAGAGATAGTCACTTTCTAGATTGCAAAAACTAGTTCAAAAGAATTACAGTAAATTTTACATCTTTCTCACTCATACCTTTCCCGAAGCAGCTTTGGTGAGTTTATTTTTTAAAGACTTTCAGCCACTTCAGATCGAAGGTAGTGAATGTATTAGAGATTATAATGTATAATTTAGAATATGATTAGACAGTTCTTATAATGGAAGCATTTATTCTTAGGCAGAACTTAATAGTAGGGCCAAAGTGAGGATAGGTATCTGATTTCTGCTTCAGTAACAAGATTTAAAAAATGAATTCCCCAATAGCATTTTTTGCTTCCTCAACACATGATCACAGAGATTTCTACCATATGTAAATGAGCTTGGGCCGGGCATTTAGCTCAGTGGTTCTGCCACCTGCCTTACAAGCCCAAAGACCCAAGTTCAATCCCCGGTACCAAAAAAACAAAGCAAAACCTGTTGTTCGAATGTTTGTCTTTAAGAGTTGAGCATTTTAAATGTAGTTTGAAGTAAAATAAATCCTACATGCTTTATGTTAATTTTGAGTTGAAATGTAAATATTATTATAATTGAAAAGTACTGTCAATTATTTATGTTAGAAACAAGTAAACTTTAGTTAATCAGGGAAATTTTTTAACAGTTACTACATGATAAGTCATATAAATGAGGAAAGCCAGTTGTAAATGATTGATGTTTAAGGGAAAAGAATTAGTCCTTAAAGATGGTGATGTAGTTCTGTTGTCAGACCCCTTCCCTAAATGTATTCTTCAGAACAGTCCTAAACATTCTTGGCTCTTCTCTTCCATATGAATTTTAGGTTGATCTTGCAAAATTAGCTGTGTACCTCCTCCCAACTTCCCCAACTTTTAGTTATTATGAACAAACCTTACTGTACAAGTCTTTTTGTGAGTATACATTAGGGGGGTTGACAACCTTTTTCTGTTTAGATAGTAAATCTATTTCTGTCTGGAGCATAAATATATTTTAGACTTTGCAGGTCATTATGTTGTCTGGTGCTGCTTCTCTTCCTTCTCCTCCTCCTCCTCCTCTTATTTTGCCACCATCTTCTCAACTGTTAAAAATGTAAAACTACTGTTAGTTGGAGGGCTGTACAAAATAGTCCTTGGATCAACTGTGGCCTGATTTGGGTGGGCAGTATTATTCTGAACTTTGAAATAAATAAATGCATACTAACTAAGAAACTTTGTGACTGTTTTGTAGTACCCATATTGTACTCCCACCAGCAGTATTTGAAAGTTCAGGTTGCTGTGTTGTGTGCTTGTTAACACTTGGTAGTATAGCTTCATTTTATTTTTTTGGTACCTGGGTTGGAATTCAGTGGGAATTTGGGACCTTGCATTTTTGAGGCAGGCAGTGGCAACACTGAGTTAAACCCCCAACCCTTAGTTTATTTTGATTTTTACTATTTTAGTGGCTGTGAAGTGTTAAGTCATTGTGATTTGTTTAGATTTTCTTGATGCATATTGATATTGGATGCCTTTTCATTTTTTTTGCTATTCATTTATATCTATTTTGAAGTGTTTGTTCAAACATATTGAAAAAATTAGAAGGGTAGTACAATAAATACCAATATAACTTTCACCAAGATTAATCAATCATTAACATTTTGGCATGTTTACTTTTTATATCTCTGTCATATATGTGTGTGTGAGATATATACCACGTCTTTTTCCTTTCTTTGTTTGAAGAAAATAAGTTACAGATATTGTGACTTTTCACCCCTAAATACTTCATTATCAATCACTAAGAATGAAGATGTTTCCTACTTATCTATAGTATCTTATAAAGCCTAATGAAATATGCACATACCATATTCAAGTTTCCCTAGTTGCCCCCAAATAACGTTTTTTTTGTGCCGAGGATCGAACTTGGTCACACTTGCAAGGCAGGTGGTGGAACACTGAGCTAAACCCCCGGTCCCACCCCGAAATAACTCTTATGCTATTTTTCTTTTATCTGTAGTACAGTCAGAGTTAATGAATTGTATTTGGCTATTTAGGGTTTACTCTCTCAATCTGAAATAATGTTCTCTCTCCTTTTTACATTGGATTTTTTTCCTCTTGATGTTTTGAGGAATCCAGACTAGTTGTTTTATATTAATTCTGAATTATCTGATGATTTCCTCATGAACAGGTTTGGGTTAAGTACTTTTTCTTTTTCTTTTTTATTTTTGGTTGGTTTTTTGAGACAGGGTCTCACTATGTAGTTGAGACTGACCTGGAACTCACTCTGTAGCCCAGGCTGGTCTCAAACTCACAGCAATCCTCCTGCCTCAGCCTCCCAAGTGCTGAGTGCTGATGAGACAGGGTCTCACTATGTAGTTGAGACTGACCTGGAACTCACTCTGTAGCCCAGGCTGGTCTCAAACTCACAGCAATCCTCCTGCCTCAGCCTCCCAAGTGCTGGGATTACAGGTGTGCGCCACCACACCCAGCTAGGGGTTAAGTACTTTTTGACTAGGATTCTCCTTAAATGATGTTACTTCATAGTGTATCATATCAAGAGAATCGAACTCAGGGCATTGAGCTTGCTATGTAGGTGCTGCACTGCTGAGCTACATCTCTGGCCCTGGTTGTGTTATGTTTGATCATTTGGTTTTGTCAGATTTTTTTCACGATAATGGTGTATTTTTCCTTTTTGTTTAGTAATTTCTGAAGTAAATCTTTGAGTCTAATATTTTTGTACTAATGAAAATTGCCTGACTCTATGAGTACTTTGGTTGCATTTATTTTTTGCTCTCAGTTGAGAAATCTGTTTTCAGCTCTTTAATCTGCCTGTGTGTTTTATGTGTTGTCTTTTTTCTTAAGAATTTTTTTTTTAAGTACCAGGGATCAGACTTGGAACCTTGCACTTGCAAGGCAGGAGGCAGAACCACTGAGTTAAATTCTTGGCCCCTTTCCTTAAGTATTTTGAATCCTTTCATCTTGTGTTCATTTTTAGTACACTTTTTTAAAAGACTCTATTACTGTATATTGTTTTCTTATTTTGAATTCCTAGTTGTCTGATTCTACTCTTGACTTTTCCTCATGATGGATTGTTCTTTTGTGTGTTTAGATTTTGACTAATGACCTCCTATTTGATATTTTTTGTTGAATTTCAAGATGGTTTGGGTTGTAAAAATACCTTGGTAGGATGAGAGTTGCATTTGCTTCTGTCAGGGTTTCCAGGATATCGCTGATCTGAGACTTACTTTTTTATTTCTTGGTATTCATTGTTTGGTTTTGGCATCAGCGGGATCCTAGCCTCATAAAGTACCTGAATTCTGAGGATAATGAGAAGAGCAAACTGAAATTACACATGCAAACATCCACTTATCCCTGCCTGTTGAATATTCCTGTAGTTTCTGACCTCCAGTGGAGACTTTATTCTTACTTTAGACCACAGAGATACTGGTAAAAAATACTTGTCTTTTTATTTTGTA